TCTGTTCAGCTTTAATTCTTGCTTCTGACCAGCCATCTAACAGGAAAACTAAGCTTTTTTTCTAGTCATCTAAGGATAGTCTGTTTGAAGTAAGGGTGAAAACTTGTTTTCTTTGTTTTACTGGGATCTGTACATGAACAGCTACTATTGCAAGTCCTCTTTGCTAATGAACAGCAAAAGGGCAGATTAAGCAATTTTCAGAGTTGTTGAGTTGAAATGGGAAGCAAAGAAGATGGCAACTTGTTTCCCTGCAGAATAAGAATTTGCATATGGAAGTGAAATGGACCAGAACCACTGAACCCATATCATCAGGATTTGACTGCTTCACAGCTGCAGGGATGGAGAGAGCTGTGGGTGATCTAACACAGGCATGCATTAACAGTTCATCCCCTGAAGTCAATATTAACATAACTTTCAAATCACTGCTGAAGAGATGAACTCTGGCCCTATGGGCTGTATACACCTCTAGAGGGACTGGCTGAGTCCACTTTTGTATGGACTTTCACTTCATATAACCCTACGCCCTTCGTTAGGACCCCACAAATGTAATTAAGCAAAAAGCTGGCACCATGTCTCCTGAAATTCAGTCTACGGACTCGAGTTTCTGGGTGGAGGGGTTAGGTACATGCTCTAGTTCTTTTCCAAAAATTGCATCTGATTTATCATGAAAACAGAAGACTCTGCATTTTCCCACTGGTATTTATTATTTTCTGATCCTTTTATATAGGAATAAGAGTTTGTCTTGGTGTCACTCCTTAAAGAGTTTTGATCCCCACACTGGCATGCACATTTTATATCTTTTTAAAATAACCAGATTTAATAGAACAACTGAAGGAGTTATTTTTATTTTATTTTTTTACATTAAAATGACTACATTTGTTGATTTTTCAGAGTATTTGATCTCGCTTAAGGGATGAAAATTAGATCACCTCAGTTCTAATAATGATCAAATATATTTGCCCTTCTGCGGTCCTAAATCTAACAAAACAATTCAGTTAAGTATCTATCAGACTGTTGTCATTAGAGCGATATTTTGAGTCATTCTCATCCACAAAAATATGTTAATTCATAAGGCAGAAATGCTGTTCCATAGCTTTGAATAAAAAAACAAATACCTTTGCAAAGTTGTACCTCCTGTTTTCCCTGACAAAGAGCGTGGGTATTTAGTTTTGTTGGGGCTTTTTTTACCCCTCTAATTCATGGACAAAATAAGGCAGAATGGGGCTTTGAAGGATCTGATTGTATCTGATTGCACTGAAGCATCTGCAGCACATCTGTGGTGTGCAGTTTCCCTGAGGAACAGTTTTACTCACACCTTGCTGTGTGGTGCTCACACCTTGCTGTGTGGTGCTCATCCACTGGGCCTTTCTGGCTTGTTAATGGTAGGGAGCTTTTCATTGCTGGAAGACACCAGAAATTTCAGCAGGGCTTGTACAGGGCTGACTTCCTCTCAGCTTGCACATTAAGCCTATTTGCCTATGACTGGATTTCACATTTGAAGAACACAACCACAAAATTTCTGGTGAGTGCTCCCTGCAGCTTCCCAGGGGTTTTGGGCACTGGCAGAAATCCAGTAATAGAGAAGGTTGTTCTGACTGGTTTAGAGAAGTGATACATTGCAGGACACTCAGAATTGCATGTTTTGGCCGTATGAGAATAATTTTCCAGTTACATATTTCATTTTTGAAACATTTCCATTGTATTTACAGTCCCACAAAATCAAAAGTTTGGAGACAGAAAGAAATGCTGCATTTTGTATTTTCAACTCTAAGCTGCACACAGTCTGTATCTGTAGTCCTGGTTCGGTTACCTAGGAAACAGCTGTAGGATGGAATTTATTTATTCTGTTTGAATAAGTGTCTGTGATATATACATGAGGCTTATCCTGCTTGTACCTGTGGAAAAATCAGTGAATTCTTTTATTATGAGGCTGATACCAAGCAATTATTGTCACTATTTAAATGGTTAACAAAATCTTCTGTAATTCCCAAAAGAGAGAGGTGAAAAAATTGTTCAAAGATCTTATGAAGCATTTATGGTGTTGAGTCAGAGAGGGAAGCCCCAGGAGACCACAGCTGTCTGCAGCAAATGGGGACTGGCGTCCAACCCTTGCAGAGAAGAGAGCAGCACACACCTGGAGCATGGTGTGAACCAGGGCACAGCTGCCCACAGCTCACCAAATCCAGAGGTACAGGGAGGACGATCCCCATCAGGCATGGGGTCAATCTCCTCATCCAAATCACACATCAAGGTATCGAGGTTGTGAACTTGGTCAGTCCTGTCTCTAGGAGACCCAGTAAAACACCATCACTTGCAGGAAAATATCAGGCAGAAGTCAATGTGTTCCCATAGAATTACTTTCACCTTTGTCTGAGCATCTCACCACCCCCTTTCATGCCTAGTATCATGCCACATGAAAAGCCTGTGTTTCCAGGGCATAGGACATTCTCTGATTCATTCTAGCTCCCAGCAGGAATCATTACTCTGGCTCCTTTCCTCTATCTGTTTCATTTATTGTTTTGACAAGAACACAGTGTGTTCCCAGAGTGGCTCTCCCAGTACACCCTGGGAACCAGGGGCAGGAAGATATCACCAGCCTGTTCCTTATGCTCACCCTTCCTTGCTTCCCAAAGCTCCCAGCCACGATACCTTGTACCCTTGGGAGACCAGCCTCACACAGCAGTACCCAAGACAGTGCATGTCCAGTCTGACATATGCTGTAGGTTTCATGGTTTTTACTACCAGGAAAAGTTCAATGACAGACAAGATTACATGCCAGGCTTCATACAGATCCTTTTAACACAGTCATTGAGGCCTTGTTGGTAGCCCAAAGAGGACTCTTCCAGACCCCAAGGGTGACTCTGTGTGTAGCAGAGATACCCATGTGTGGGCTTGGAATAAAGCCACTAAGTGAGGTTTTTCACTTCTGTTTCCCACTGCAATTGCTGTACAAAGGCAGAGTATGTGTGCCTACTTCTAGTATCTGGTGTAGTAGTGGCTGCACTGGACACCAGCAATTTCTAAATCAGGGTAGTCTCAGTTTGCTTTGGCACTCTGAGTCCCTGGGGCTGAGGCTACACCTCCCACTTGACAGCCTGGGCAGCCCTGCTGAGCCTGCCCTCTGTAATCTGCTTCAGTGCTGGTCCTGTGCTGGAGGTCAGGCTTTTGGCTGCACTGCTTTAGCCAGAACGCTGTCAAAAACATCTCCTATTTCATTAGAGATAGATGGCACTGGGAACATATGTGTGAATTGAAACGTTTTGAAAATAATTTAGCAATTTTAATAGTAGATCAGCCTTTGATTATTACCCACTCTAAACTCTCCCACAGGGTGCACCAGGTGCACACCTATTCTAAGATAAGCCCAGCTGTGTTTTAGATTGGTGACTTTTATCCCCGTTTCATAAGCTGTGTTGTGATGCTGCTACTGCTTAAGTGCAAAGAAGGCTTCTTGCTCTGCTCTGATTTATGCACCATGTAGTTCTGGTTTTAATAGGACTAAGCAAGGGAAGTAAAGGCAGAATGTGGCCATGCATTGTATTTACTGTGCATGTATCTTTATTGTAGTGTTTTAGTATTTCAGCCAAAGATCATAAAGTGCTTTACAAAGCTGGTAAAATCATGAGCCATACATTATGGGTGGTAAAACTGACTCCTGTTAAGAGAATTTTCCAGTGTCATACTGAGTCAAGAGCAGGAAGAGACTACAGGTTTTTTAAACTCCCAATCCCTCCTTGATTTGGTATATTATTTATTATAATTAATACGCTTTTCTTGATACTACATTAGCATAAAGCAATCCAAACCACTCTCAGAAATTATTTTTAAAAGCAGAGGAAACTGTTAAACTCATGGTATGAGCATGCAGGAAATTAAATCATGTAAAAGATTTATGAATTTAACAGATGGCAATCTTAGCTCTTGGTACATATGATGCTTAGAGTTTTTGAGGACATTTATTTGCGAGGAATTCATTACATGGCTAGTGTGGAGAATTCTTAAGAAAATCTTGGTTTTGCCTCTAGATGGCTCACCTGGAGCTGCCATTGCAAAAATGTTATCCAGAAAGGAATTCCTACATTATACTCCCATGATATAATGGCTTGCTTTTCCAGCTGCAATGGAGAGTCAATCATATAAATATATTATATCTGTGTAAAAACATTCTGCTAAATTGTTTTGTCTTTTGTAAGAACAAGAATAACAGATGGATTAGGGACAAAGCAGATTTATGAGTAAAGTAACATTCTATTAGTCATTATCATGAGTCACATCTAAAATATCTACAGGGAGGGCTGTCTTTCTGGCTACAATAAACATTTTCCAGGTGCAGTCATTGCTGTGGGGTAGGTGATGTGTTACGCAGAAATCACATTGTTGTCTGTCTATTGTATTTCTGCCCCATGAATAGGAAATGGCATTTTTCTAGGGGCAGTAGGATACAGATCATCTTAGAACTCCAAAGTATATAAAATAATAATGGATAATCTGTGTTTATTCTAGCAGTAACTAAAAAATATAAGTTAACTTGGGGAAGGAGCTAGTAAGTTTTACTTCTCCAACTAAACAACGTGGATCATAAAGACTTGTAAAAGTCCAGATTAAAGTACGTATTTCGTATTTTGTCAATAACAATTCACAAAGAAATGGAAAAGGATAGCTGGTGGCTGAGATCACAGTGAAACCCACCCAGCTTTCCTGCGAAGAATTCAGAAAGGGTTTTTTTGCACATTGAAACTCACAGGTTTTGTGTAGTGAGAACTGCAATGTTCAGGGGAGTCCTGTCCCAGCCTGCAGATACTGCAAATTGTATTTAGAGTGCTCGGGGGGTAGAAACCACACACCCAAGACAGAAGTTACTGTGCTGTGCTGGGGCTCCAGTGTACTCCTCTGGAGTCTCAAGCAAATTCCCCAATGTTTTTATTCTATATGCTGAGCATTTGTGGATTTTTTCCAAAGGTTTCTTTGGGTGGAATAAAAATCAGCAGGAAACCACTTACATCACTCCGTTTTTCTGCCTGCGGTGGAGACTGGGTTTGTCTTTCATCTGCTGCACAGGAGCAGCCCCTGGATTTCAGCGGTGCCGCGGCCGCTCCCGCCTGCCTGTCCCACCTTTGCTGCGTGGGAGGAACTCCCCTGGACGTGGATGTGTGGGTGTGTGTGGATGTGTGTGGATGTGTGTGGATGTGTATTCCACACACCAGGCGAGTGCACAGCCCCTGTGCTGCAGCCTGGCGAGGAGAGAGCTGCTCCACATCCTTCCTTGCATTTTAATCATCCTGAGAAAGTTGAAATCTCCCTTTTCTGAAATGGACACTAAAGAAAAGAAGAGAAAAAAAAAAAGGTCAGGTAATGAAGTGAGGATTAAACTAATTAGATTTTTTTTTCTTTTTTTGTAATTGTACTATTTAGTCACGCCACTGTCTGTGTGGTAGATTAAGAGTGTAATCTCAGGTTGCAGAGATGAGACTGGGAGATTCACCAGACACTTTTTGTGAATAACTGGGACATACAAGGATCATGACACATGGCCAGATTTAGAGTGAACAGGACTGAAATATCTTGCAAAGTCTCCTGCCTCTCTGGAGCATGATTTTTGGGGTAAATCTTCCTAATATATAGACACAACTGGAAAAGAAGATGAGAACAATATTCCTCACTGAAACCTTGCTCCATCTCAGACAAATTGCTTACTTATTGTGCGCTACCAATAAATAAACCAGCTCAAACATTATATCTTGGAAAGATGCTAAAAATATGCTGAATAGCTATTATGTACTTTGATAAATGTGTTGTTAGAAACAACACAAGTTTCTCAGGGCAGTGTACATGTGTGTTCCTGTGCCGTGTCTCCTGGTCACAAGCCTTTTTCCACATATGCAGAAATCTCACTGCCTTTCCTCAGATCCTGGACAGCCAAGCTCCTTTGTTCCTTGGCATTCACCTCAAAAAACCTAACTGTCTTCTCTGACACCACAAAAGGAGTTTTCCCCCCTGCTCACATGTCACTGCCCAGTTTATAATATGAAAGATGTTGAGATTTTTCTGCCTCCCAAATGAGATGCTGAGAAACACCACACAAAAGTGATTCTGCTCTTGTGGATTTTTTTCTGGTGGGAACTCCACTGAGATGTGAACTGCAGAACCTACTTTTGTGGTCTTTTCTGTGTGCCCAGTTCTGTAAATTACAGTAAGACAGTATGCTCCAGCTGGAAGGACAACGTGTTTAGGAGAGGCCATTATTAGAAGAAATTCTACCTCTTCACCCATTTCCCCAGCACACATCAAGCCTGAAATCAACCCAACCCTACTGCTCTGTGAAGAATTTGTCACAGTTCAGCACAATGGGTAAACCCAGCTCAAGAAAAGCCCAGAGCTACATTAACACAGAAACCAAATATGTGCTGCTGGGTGGTTGTGTGGAAAGGAGGGTCCCTTTAGGTCAAGGGCAAGGGCAACAGCTGAGCAGAGATGTGGCTGCCTGCACTGTCACTCTTGTGCCTTTTGTATGTACATAAAACTTTGGTTTCCAGGGGTTTTCAGGCACAAAAGTCCCCCTGACACCCAAACAAATAATCAGAAATAAAAAACTCGTGGAGCTGTTGATAATAAAGCCAGAGACTGGCCATTCATAGAAATATGCACTACATCATTGCTCCTGACTGTGTGGTGATTCATCACCATTTCCCTTCTCTCGCCTTTTATTCTTTCGATTATTTTTGCCCGGGGATCCCTTAAACTCTTTCCAGCTAATTGTAGATATGTTTTTGTTTGAAATGTTAGATCTTGGAAAAAGCCCCTTTCAATAGGAGTATTTCCTATAAGTAGGTCACTGCTGTAAAAGGGTTAGACGTGCAGCCTTTGCTTACAAGATGCTTTGCTTTCTAAAGCCCTTAATGCAGCTTTACAAAAAAAGAAAGGAAGGGGAAAAAAAAGATACCCATTTGTTGACCTTTGTCTGGTGCTGGGTAAAGTGTCTTTCTGACCAGTACAAGAGAGACACTAAACCAGTGATGTACAGAACTATATTTGTACTCTGAATAAATAGACTAAAAATATCCCTTCAAACAGGGTAAGCTATAATTTTAAATTGTAGCACTTCTAAAGAGCTTTCACTGATATCAGACACTCCCAGGCTCCAAGCAGAACAGCCCTGCAGTTTAATCAAATAACTGTGAAACCATTGCCACAAAATTGTAACCAAAATGTTTGTGTAATGTTATGTAGCTACGGAAACAAACTTGGGCTTCTAGAATTACCTTCTTAACTGGTTGATAGCAATGGGCCTGTTGCAGAGTTTTGATAGAGTTATCTGTAAAGCTGGGAGATTTCTCCCCTTGCCCCAAAGACAAGTAAACCCTGTGTTCAAGATAGGGCAGGTGTGAAGGGATGTTGGGGCTGGGACTAGTAAATCAAAGGTTCTTTTATGCATGCAAATACCACATGTTGTTTATAATGGTATTTCTCAATTATTTTATTATATAACCTTTCTTTTCAAACCCACTTAATTTGAATTTTAGCTAGCTGGGGTGCAGATAAACATACAATCTTTTGGTCACTATATGTTTTGCATCTCAGAAAGCATGACATTGAAGTTACTGGAGTTATTTTTATTTTCTTTTTTTTTTTTTAATATGAATTACACTTATTTACAGAGGCTTTTTTGTGTTCTTCCCTACTAAGCTCCATTTAGGGTTTGTCAGGAACTTCTGGTATCTAGGAGTGCTTGAAGATCAGGAGGTTACTCCACCCTTTTCCTTCTCCTCCACCCCCTCAAATTTTTGGTGACAAAACACCAAAACTATTTGTGCAGACTGCACTGTCTTGCTTTACAGTCTCCCTAAAACAGGAAAGTTTAGTGCAGATTTTTCATTTTCTCAATAGAAAAAAGAATATTAGATGGAATATTAGTTTTCTGATGGGAATTACACAGGGCTATATTTTGGATGAAAACCACTTTTTATGTACCAATAAGCAGTTTCCAAAAGCTAACTATTCTACCATTCCATCATGCTGGAAATGAGCTTCAATAGAATTCTGCCATTTCTTTCACTTTTCTTAATCTGACATAAAATGTCATTAGTATCTATTGAAATCTTTCTGTATGGATGGGGAAGGTAGGAAAAAAATCATGCATATTGGAGAGAGGATAATTTTGCATGGTACCTATAAAAGAACCTGTGTTTGGAATGAAGAATGTGCAAGTTCTAGAGTTCTGGCCATGTTGGTTCTCCCACAGGCAGGTGGGGAAGGGCAGCATAGTCCCAGCTCTGCCTGGCCAGCTTCCAGGGCTTGTGGTGGCTCAGAGTTGGAGCTGGAGGCTTGCAGTGATCAGGAACTGTCACTCAGCTTCCAAGAGAGGGACCAAGCATGGGTAACTCCTTCTGGTCACAGCCCAAGCTATAAAACACAAACACTCAGGCTTATTTTCAGTCTTCTTTATTGCTCACCCTTTGGAGGCTGTGTTTCTATTACCTGCAAAAAGTACAGATGCAGCTGGTTGAACTCTACAACCAAATCCCCTGTGACAGAACCTTGCAAGCCATCTGCTGTCAACAGAGACAATAACATGCAGCATTGTTTCCAGAGACAATTTTTCAGGTAAATGAGATACCTGAGGGTCATCAGGCTCTACTCTCCACTCCTGTTCTTAGAGGATCATATCCATGTCATGCCTTCTGCTGTAGCCTTATGCAAGTGTCAAAGAAAAAGTGCTTGGTTATACTTACTTCCTATCTCTAGAAAGCAGGACATGGAATCTTTCTGTTTCTCTCCCAGCAATACAAATATTAAACATCGCAGCCTCTGGAAAGCAGGGCATAGCTGGGGAGCTCCGGGAGAAGAAATTTTCTGCAGGAGTTCTGCAGATGGGAAGGCAGAAGAAACCCTTAGCAGAGCATCACAAAGGGATCCAACCAGCTCCTGTCTGCAGCCCTAACAGCAGCACTCTGAACTCAGTGGTGGGTACTGGGCACATACTGCAGTCCTTGTCCCTCTCCACCTGCCAATCCTGCCAAGGAAGGCAGAATTAATGAATCCAACCCAGGAGATCTGGCAAGCCTGGGGACAGAGGCTCCTGGTGTTATTCAATGCCAGGCACTGGCTGCCCTCCTAGCCAGGCCAGAGACCTGTCAGGAAGGTGCATGACCTGGGACAACTTTGCCACTTGTCCACTGCCAGCTGAGAAGGAGCCATGGAGTGAAAGTTGAAAGCAAACATGAGGGCAGCTGCCATAAAACCTGGGATAGCAACTACTCAGCAAGGTTTAAATCTCTGTATTCTCCTTTCTAAGCCCATTTTTCTCATTTCTGCCAGTGAGGGTCAGCCATAGTTTATATTTCAATCTGGAAGAAACCAAACATTTGTCCTTCTCAGTTGGAGAAGCTGCAGATGCACATTACTCTGGACCAAATGTCAGAGCTCTCAATGCAGTGCTGATACAAAAGTCCAGCAGTGCTGATGGAGGCCCATCAGTTTCAGCTTGTTCTGAATATGAATGTGCTCCAAGTATAAATGTTTGTCTCCTTCACTTCAGATGTGGAAATCCAACAACTGGGGCGCGATCTAGAAGAAGTGTGTAAGGAAAGAATTGTGTTTATGGCCTCTTCAAACTCATATTGATCAGTCATGAAATTAAAGCGCCTAAAGTGGAGGTAAGAGAAATTGTTGTTTGCAGTGAAAGCTTGATTACTTAGTACAAGAAACCAGGATTGTCATGGGTTTGCATGACAAATATGCAAATTTTCAGCTTCTTTTTTGTTCTTCTGCAATAGGATTGTTGCTTCTTTTTTTAGGGTCATTGAAACTACCAAGTTACCTAAGTCATTACCCTCCCTTTACCTCTGCATCGTTGTGTTTCCATCTGCCATACTGTGATTATCTCTTTCAGAAGACTTGAATGAAGAGCATCTTCCAAATTATTCTACTTGTAGATACATTTCTGCTGTAGGGTTTAGGAAACATCCTGTAGCTACTCTCTCAGGCTGATATATTTTTTGTATAACATGCTGTTTTCAGCAGCCACCACTACCAGGCAGTGCACCAGGCAGCAAAATGTAATTACTCAGTCTGTGAATCCTGCATAGGAGGCAGACACGGTGAAGAAACTGGCATTTCTTTTACTGCACAGGATCTGAGTCCTAAGTGTGAGCAGAAAATGTCACCAGAGAAGTTGTGTCTTCTGTCTCACTTAT